TTAAATGATCTACCTTCTTATTAATAATTTGCACTTCATTAATAACTGTGTTGATATGCAACTTTATGTCTGCAACACTTCTGACAATTATTTTCAAAAACTAAAAAATACACGATTACTTAGGAAGCTAACATTTAAGAGCTCATTATAGCCCCCTCAGATAAATGTCAATTAACCATGTTCTACACCCCCAAAGTCAATTATTTGATAATTATAAGTTTTAAAGTAATTAATAATATAATTATATAAATATTGCATATTTGCATTACTATGTATAATTATGCATGATTATGTATAATTATATTATTAATTATGTTAAAACTTATAATTGTCAAATAATTGACTTTGGGGGTGTAGGACATGATCAATTGGCATTTTTCTGAGGAGGCTATAATGAGCTCTTAAATGTTAGCTCCTTTATATAGTGCAAAATTTTAAAGTATTCATAAATTTTACCTGTTTCATTTTTTCAATGTTACAATTGAGGTTTTCTTAGTCTAATTTTCTTTGTTGTTCAGTAGAAAGTTATCATGAAATGTAAATTATTTATGCTTTTATCGAATTCAGAAATCAATTGTGTAAAAGTTTCATAAACTGAATTTGCCAATGCATATTTCTTTCAGCCTAACAAGTTTAAAACATTATTCATGAAATGGCAAGCAACTATAACTTTAGTCATGAAAGTGATATTATTGTAAGAAATCAGCAGATCATAGTCACATAGTTAGCATGTATGGGGTTTAGTAAATATTTGTAAAGGCTTAGAGTAAAGAACTGTTTGTTGTGCTTTTTAACTGCTGTTGCCTGAAAATGTAGCTTTCTGGCTCTATTAGGAACTTCCTCCCATCTACTGCTAGCATAAATGATTACTATGTTTTTCTAGACAGCTGCTTTGCGGCAAACACTAACTAATATATGATAGTTACATTACACCATTCTCATGTTATTGACGTGTTGAAATACAAATGTGATGTGGTTATGCCACATCATTCTCATACTTTCAACTGAAGGGGACCAGAAGTAGATATGTGAATACCATATAAATTCTGTAATATAAAACAACTCGTAATTGCTAAGAAATAACTTATCAAAAATTGTTCTTGAGTGAAAATTGATCTTGAGTAAAAATAATCTTTCATTTTCTTTAATACTTCCACAAATCAATAGAATGCTTTATGATTACAAATTCTAGGTTGGAGTTGTAAAATTTCAATATTGGTCTTTGCTATAAACCTTTGAAAAATAAATATCTTATTTAACTTGAAAGATAAAATGTATATGATTGAAAGCTTTAGTAAAAGGTATGAAAAAAGATAATTTTTTTCTAAATACAATAATTTAAACTTTTTATAAAATTCAAAAATATACTTTTATTGAATGCATTATCATTATGCTTATTATCTAAATATTTTTTTAATTATATAATTACAAAATGACATACAGTTTCATAATAATGATTAATGATAATTATATCTCTTAGTATTACAGTATTAGTAGTTATAGATTATGTCATTAATTTAATAACAATAATAATAAGCAATTGCCAATTTATAAGTTCATTGCAAGATTGAAGTTAAAATATTATTCATTTGTTTTTACACTTGTATTTCCTAAAGATTTTCTTTTATACAAAACAGCACAAAAACAATTTAGAAAAAAATGCTATGTTGTAATGGGTTTTGACAGGTTTTGACTGTTTAATTGCATTGAATAGATGATCATGTGAAAAGCTATCCAAAGTATAATATTGCCATACAATATAAACAAATTAGTTGTATCAGTTATTATAAATGTGACATATCTAATTGAAAAAATATAAACTAGAATTTTAGTTGTTTAGCCCGAATTGAAGTTAGGGTTAGTCTGGTTTAAAGTTAGTAATGATAGTTGTAATTGTCAACAATTTCATAGAAATGAAAACTCAAATAATTAATTTTATTAATTTTTTTTTCTTTTGAATAAAAATTATTATCTTATTCTTATTATAACAATACATAATAAAAAAATATTAAAGTTTTATTCAATTTTAAATTGAGTTTATAAGTTATTAAAATTTGATACAGAAAATAATTTACATTATTGGATTTTACTAATTGCATTGTTTTGCAACATAATAAAAAGATTGTATTTAAACCTTGATAAAAAAAATAAAAGTTTGTATTTAAACCTTCTTTAGAAGCTTATAGAACTATAATTATTTTTAGAAGATAAAATAGATGAAAATACTATTCCAGAACATCATTATACAAAAATTGAAGAAAATTCAACAAGATTGAAGTCTTCAACAGCTTATAACATTATTATATACAAATTTGACTATGAGTTTCTTATTAATCATAAGAATAGAAGAAAGTTGGATCCAAAGTCAAAAGAACATTTAATAATAAAAAAGAAAAACAGAAAATTCCTTGAGAAATATCATAAAGTATATGAGTTAATAACTTACTGATATGGTTATTATTTGGATCAAGATATTGGTGGCCTTAAAGATAAAGATACAGCATCAAAATTATATAAAGAAGTAGCTGATAAAGGAATTGCTAGCACTTAATTGTGTTATGCATTTTCATTAATAGAAAATAAAACTATAAAAGACATACAAGCATTTATTAATTATCTTAATCAGTCCACTGAAAATGGTAACAATATAGCTCAATATAATTTAGGTGACATTTATTATTTTAGTAAATTTAAGGTTCTAGTAAATAAAGAGAAAGGTAAAAAATTATTAATATCAGCAGCTAAGAATAAAAATACAGAAGCAATAAAATAATGCAAGAAAGAAAACATTAATTTCAATCAAATTAATTGGAATAATTCTATGATATTAAAAAACCTATTAATAAAATAAAGTAAATAAAAAATGGTTTAAATATATTGGGATGTATACTTTTGGTTGAATTAGATACAAATTACAATAAATATAAATAAAATCTAAAACTACAATTTTAGATTAAACTACAGTTTATTTATATTTACTAATAGTTTACAATTCAGATCTCTAGGTAAATATCATATTATCTACAATTTAATAATTATATTATTTAGGCAGTGTTTAAATTTAATTGCATTACTTAGACAGTATTTAAATAATATTATCATTACTTTCAATAAGTTTTTTACTTTTAATAAGTTTTTTTTATATTTATTTTTTTACAAATTCAATTGATCAATTGTTCAAGTTATTAAAATTATTTTCAGCATAGTTTGCTCTAATAGTGTTTTAACAAATTTTGGAACTTTAACATTCAATGAATATACTCATTTAGTGGTTATTGCAAACTGTTGTAGTCATGTTAATCTACACTATATAAGTGATACCATATCAAAATAGATCTATAGCAAATTTTCCTTTTTTTGCCTTTTACTTACACAATATAATAATAAGATATTAGTTTAGTTACACAAATATAAAATATATTGTGAGCAGAAACTGGATTTGAAAACCTCTATTTTTTGAATAGTGCTAGAGTTTATATACTGTAATTAAAAAATTTCTAATCAGAAACATCTTAACCCAACCAGCTGTTCATATCTGATTCATCAGCCTGATAATAATATTATTAATGAAACAACTACTACTGGTCCTAATCAATTCCATCTATAACTCAAGTGCCTTCAATAAATGATATCTTTAATGCTGCTTAGTTTTTCATAATTAATACACATATAAGATGTATATAAGAAATACTATATCATCTCAAAATAACTTCTCTAAGGTGTAATTTAAATATTTTGGCCTATATTAAGCTTAATTTAGGCCAATTTAAACTTAATGTAGGCCAAAATATTAGACTGTGACATTATTTTGAGATAATATATAGTAATGGATCAGCCCATCATCTTTTGACCTAAAATTGGTCTTACAGTAATGATAAGAATGCATTTTGTATCTTAATTAAATTGATAACAAAAATTCTTATTGTTATATTTTATTAATATGATATATCTGTATATAATATGTGTATATAAATTAAATATTCATTGTAAAAAATTTTTTACAGTTGTATGAAGCAAATCTAATAATATATAGTTATTGCATGTGAAGTATGCAATAACTGCTATATTTTATGGGCAATAATGATTGATCAAAAGAGAACATAAAATATAGCAGTTGATGTATACAGGAACATGCAATAATGGTTTTATTCAATGATTTACAATCTCAGTTTATGAAATATGATCAATAATTTTATCATGTAAAAATACTATAAATTAATTGATTTATTTTATAGATTGACCATAATAAAGTATTGAATAAAGCTAATTATTTTTTGTTGCAAAGACCTTGGATTATAAGGATGATGACAGTATTGCAAGTATCTAATATCCCAGCAGATGATAAATATTTGTCACATCAAATCTAATAATGCAGATCGCATTTGTATTTGTGCCTTTTATGGTTAGTCTAGTGTTTTTGTAAAACTTCTTGTTAATGCAGGTTTTTTAGGATCATTATGGTGATGGCATATGATTTAACAAATTTAGGGTTATATGAATATTGGTAAATAGGAAGGTGTTAATAGGACTAAGGGTATTAAAGAAAGAAGGTTTAAGTATATGAAAATAAGGGTGCTTATAAGGGTAGTTTTTTAGAAGAAAGAGGTATCTTTCATTTCACTATCACTCGCCTCAGTAAGGGCCAGCTCTATCTTCTACTTACTCTCCCTTTTTCTAAGAAGACAGTGAATACAAGGGTGTAATGACTATCTAAGTAAACCATATAATTTGATTATAAGAATTAAGGCTCTATGGCTACAATGGCCTTATGACTGCAAGAACAATGCAATTGTCCTCATTAGTGAATAGTCAGGCTCTATGACTGTGATAACAGTGCAAGGACCTGTTGTTTTATGATGTCACAGTTGCAGTGACAGCACAAGAACCTTACAGAGTTTAATGGTTCTTTACAAATTAGATACATCAAATGATATTTCGATTCTCTTTTAACTATATGATGTCTATTGTTATCTTGTCTACTTTAATTTTACATAATAGAAATGTGTATGTTAGGTTTTGAAGGTTCAAGAAATTTGAGGACTGAAAGGTCAGTAGGTTATGAATCTGCCATGTTGGGGATGTTTGGTGTTAGTTTTAAATAATTGTGATATAGTTCTAGAGACATTATTTATTTATATATGCTTTATTTTGAAATAAATAAAAAATTTTAAGTATTTCTTGTATAAGACAAAAAAATGCTTTAGAACTGGATTTAGTACTAAGTAACTCTTCTTTTGAGCTTAACAAAAGTTGTTCTAAAGAACAACTTTTATTAAGCTTAAAGAGAGAATTACTTAGTACTAAATCCAGTTCTAAAATAATTTTTATGCCATCAAAATAAGCTTCAAAAACACATATTGATATTTAACTTTTTAAGATTTATTGTGAGAGATTATAGCATATAAACAAAGAAGAAAGTATTTTAATCTGTTTGCAACTATGGTGACATTTCACAATATCCTATGATGCATGGGAACTGTTCCACTTACCTAAACCTCTACAGTTAATGTTTGAAAGAGAAGGCTATGCTTTGCTATGCAATCTTTTTCAGTATATTGAACTTAATAAGTATCCTACAATGCATTGGAACTGTTCTATTAATGTGAACCTTCTTCAGTTGATGTTTAGAAAAAGAGGATCATATTCCTGGTAAGATATGCTTAACATATGAGATTGACAATCTCTTTTCAGAAATTTATTATATCATTGTCATAATTAATTTTAATGATAAATTTTTATTTTCAAAATTAACAAAATTGATTATTTTTTTTAGCATGAACATTTCAAGTAGGATTTCTGATTATATGAGTAAAATAAACTATGCAAACTGGAACATTATTGATTGTCTAAAATTTTTGGATAAAAATAATTGTTTAGAGATGGTATCTGAAAATAAAAAAAAATAGACCTCTGGGTTGATAGTGCAGTGGTTAACACTCTGGAAGTCACAATCGCACAGTTGCCAGTTCGAGTCCAACTAGGAGATAAAAGTTGTGTCAGGACCATGATTGGAAATGATCTTTAAGAGGAACTTTCTACTTTCAGATGGATTACTACAATGATAAATAAAATGTGTGACATAGTCACAAGATCATGCAGCACCCAGAAAAGGGAAAATCTGACAAAAAACATCATTAATATAAGGTTTCTCAACTTAAAGTAATATAAAGAAATAAATAATAGAAGAATGATCCGGCTGGTGGGTCATGTGAAGTTAGGGAACTGCGGACCGAATAAAGATAGTAGGTCCTACACTGCAGAACCAAGGACCCAGAACATCATATGATGGACTTAACAGAGCATTAGTTATCTCACGAGCATGATGATGAATATAGGGGCCACCTGCCATCCGATGATCTCCGCAGAATGATAACTCTGGCCTTTAAGAGATGTGACAGATCCTAAAGGTGTCTAAGGACCTTCAGGATAGTGGAGAAAGGTAAAATCAAAAAAAAAATTAAATAAAATAAAGAAGAAATTTCAATAGAATTAAAAAGACAGTTACATTCAGTATCTGTTAACCAGTCATCAAACCGAAAAGCACGCGATAAAGCTACAAAAATTTACAAAAATGTGGAGAGTAATTTTAAATTCAAAGAAATTGTAGCATTTTTTGCTCAGATGGATGAAAAGGTAAGATGAATACTAGTTAATATCGTTAATTAATATAATATTAACATATTTATAGGCCAATATAAATATATTTGATGCCAAAACCAATTTATATGGATCGGAAGTCGCGGTGCAAATGATTAGTGACAAGTTAACTGATTTTAAGCGCAAACCTCCCTCATTGAAAAGAAACAATGAGAAAGCAAATGCTGTAAGTTATTATCTTTACGCTGGCTACCTTATTTAATATTATACTATAAGAATATATTATTTCTCAATAGGCGTGTTTACTTGATGGTAATGAAATAAAAAGACAGCGCATTCAAAAAGATTCCACATTCGAACTTTTAACAAAAGAAAGCATAGATGTAGATGAAGATTTGATCATTGGAAACTTTAATATTAGAGTGTCGCTATTGAACTGGAAATTGAAAAATAATCCACCTCGTGACGAGTATGTTCTTTTTTTCTGTAAGAAAAAAATTTCAATTTTTAAACTACCATAAACTTTACTAAAGTTTTGCAACAGTCTCGCATATTATGACATATTAGACCTCACTCCGGGCACGAATAGTGATTTTGTCAAAAGTTATTTACGACCAGAAGTATATAATAAGCTTATAACTCACGAACCGACACTCAAAGAAAGAGATTATAATGAAATCAAAGCTTTTATTAATAATATGATAAAGGTATATGATAATTTCTCTTAATGTACTTTATTATCTTTAATAACATTTCATAACAAACTTTTTATAGGTTACTGATTTTAAAAAATCGGTCGTTGATTATTATTTACTCACTCGTAATGATGATGAAAAAGAATTTTTGTGGAATTACATAAATTTATTGTAATATTTGTGATATTTATTTGCCACATGCGTAGAATTAAGTCAGTTTAATGTTAAGGAATTAGCTTCTTAGCTTTATCTACACAGAGTTCATTCATTTGAAAGAAATAATGACTTATTAAACGACACCTTATCTGAAAGAATGTATCGAGAGATGTTTTTAACACCATTAATCACTAATCTATTTCAAAAAAATTTTAAGGATATGGAAATCTATTTGCAAGTGAACTTTCATATTACCACGCTCTGTATTTCAAAGACCATTATATTAATATAAAATGATAAAAAATAATTAGTGGTGAGAAGAATTTGTTCGCCTCTGCTGAAGACTTTGACCTAACAAAAGATGATAAAGAGTATCGCAGTAATGGTCGTAAAATAGATATTGTTTGGGCCACTAAGCCCTTAAAAATAGAATTTGCTATTGCAGAGATAAGTGGGCCTCCAAATGAACACCAACATTCCCATTACTTTAGCGACAAAATCAAGGTGGCCAAAATGGTAAAGGTTATGTTGAATAGAATAGTACGAGTATATGGCAGCGCAAAAACAAACCTAAACCTTCTAAGACTTTATGGGCTACAAGTCTATAGTGAGAATTCGTTGAGCTAGCGTATTTTTTGTGATTAACGTTAAATACTTAAATAATATTTCATATTTTTAGATCATATAGTAACTGTATATGAGCTTTTTATTTCAAATAAAGGAATTTACATTTTTAGAGAAGTTACTAAAACTAGTCTGCCAACAACAAGTATTAATATACCTTTATTACGTCTATGTGTGCCGACTTTTCTGTTTTTTAAGGTATTAATTTTTTTTTCTTTTTTCTTTTTGTTTTTAAACTTTTAACTAATATCGTTTTAAGGAAATTATAATTGAAAGCTTAAAAAATATAAATCAATACATTATGGAAGCTGGTTTGAGCACACCAATCGATAATGAAAATGCCAATTTATTTTTAACACCCATGACGTATTCGTCTATGGATGGAAAAGATTAATAGAATTCAACATAAGACCAAAGAAATAGCTAAACTATCGATTATAAATTTATTTTTTAGCAGTCTGCAATAGTGAAGTGATTACTGTTGATCGAATATTAAATTTTTGTCAAGAGTGAATGATTAAAGTACTATAACTATCTCTAATATATCTATTATCTTGGGGATCTTCGATATCTCAGATTCTAGAATTTTTGGAATTTGTACTAGATTGGGAACCGCAGTAATTTCGGTGATAATTTACCTTTCCACAACGTGCATAACTGGTAAGAGGATGGATTATACGATTAATGCAATATAATTTTCATGTAGCACCACTCAAATCTGGATACCTAGTGTCTGGAGACCTTCTCTTTAGAAAAAGATAATCACATTATATGACGTCAGGCGGCTTCTTTAATTGGCAAATTCGAAGTGTACGATATAACATAAATAGTACAATGAAAACTTAAATTTCAGCATAGAAGTTTCGATTTATTTTTTTTTTTTGCAAATTTATTAGGTTATAACCAATTCATTCAAAAATGAAATTGCTATCAAAATTTGAATCATTATCTCGTTCAAAACTTAACAAAATTGCAATAGTCTTGTCAATTCTTACGATTTTATGGAATTTAGCTGAAGGTGTAGTCTCGGTTTGTTTCGGTGCAGAAAATGAATCAGTTAGTTTGGTCTTTTTTGGTATTGATTCTTTCGTTGAAGTGACTTCTTCATGTGTGGTGTTATGAAGATTTTTGAAAAAAGAGTCAAACATTCATGAAGAAAATCCTAAGGATAGCTTAATAGCTATTGAAAGAAAGGCAACATTTGCAATTGGTATATTATACTTGCAATTGGAACAGTTGCGGACGCAATTGTTACTTTGGTGAGAAATGGAAAACCTGATACTACTATATCAGGTCTTATCATTTCATCTGTTACAATTTTTTTCATGGCACTTCTTTGGCTCATGAAATTCTCAATTGCTAAACTACTTAATTCTTCGACAATGATGTCTGATTCGAAGTGTACTTTATCATGTATACAAATTACTCTTGTTTTATTTCTCAGTAGTCTGATTTACTCTGTTTGGAATGATGGTTGGTGGATAGATTCTGTTGCTGCTTTAATTTTAGGTTTATTGTTTTCAAAAGAAGGTATAGGAATGATTCTATGGGCGAAGAGTAAAGATTTCGATGGTGGCTGTTGTAAAAATGATTCCATCAAAAATAATAATCGTGATGGTGATTCTAATTGTTATAATGATTGTAATAACGAAGAATGTAAAATCACAATAACATCTGAAAAAATTGTCGACAATAACAATATAAAAGAGGAGGGTCAATGACATTAATGATTCAAATATAAAAGAAAACATCAGTTTCCAAATTTAATATTTAATAAATTTTTTGTGTTGAATAAAGAAATAAGCAGTAATTACAATGCAATGTTTACTATAATTCGGAGTAAATAGGCGGATACAAAGCTGGGTCTATTACGCTTCAACAATTTTAAAACTTTTACTAACACTTATCTCTCCTTATTTACGAGTTCTATAAGTAGTCTCCAATAATATAGACATAACTTATAGTACTTACCTCTATCATTCATAGTTTAATGTATTGATTTTATGCTACCATATATTTTTTAAAAAAGATAATATTTTGAATTGACACTTCTATAACGGTGAATCGGATTTTTCTTCAGAGTTCTCCATAGGGGCATGGAAAATATTGATTTATTTATTAATATAGATCGATATTTTTAGGTAATATAAATTTGGCCGCCTAAAATAGCAAATAGCATAGGTATAAGCAGTTCAAAACTTCCTGATTAGAAAATCAATGAGCACAAGAGACGAGCAAGGTCTAAGTCAAAATTGAAGTAAAGTTCCGGAATTATTCAGCTAACAAAGTACAGAGGGTAGATCACATTATACTAAAAGCTGCAATATGATAAGTTGTTAGTTGGCTAACCAGGGCAAATCGATTTAGGGTGTTACATATTAAAACAGTCAATTTTTACATATAAACTAGGCACTTGAGTTGCTTAAAGGGAGTTAGTAATGAGTGTAATATATGAGTGATGGTCTGTAAAAATCTGTAAATAGATTCTCTAACCAGAAACGACCACTGATGAAATCTGATGAAATATGATCGAATCTGATTATTCAGTATCACATTTATTACATAATCTTTAATGATCAAAATAAGACGAGTAATAGAAGCGACTAGAACGGTTAGAATTGTGTATTTATCATATTTAATTTATTTTTACGGCCAGATTCATCAGGGGTCGTTTCTTGATAGTGAATCGATTTGCAGGTTTTTACTGACCGTCACTCATATTTTATCGTGCTAGTAACAGATTTCAATAAACATTTATGCATTTAGATTTAAATCATCAGATCTGGAAAAAATATACTAAATGGGTGAATGATCCCTGGAAAGGACCTATTTTTTTTACTATTTCTATTAATAACAAATTTATTATTATTTATTATATCTACAAAATAAAGGTATAAATATTAAGTTGATAATCAAAAATATATCAGCAATTAAAAAAAGGTTCATCTGGAGCTTTTTACTCACTTGGCACTTAATACCTTTTTAATTATCACTCATTGGATTTACTTATAATTAGTGCTCTGAATGGGTTGGGTCGGGTCGGGTTATGAGCCAACCTGAACCCGACCTGACCCGAAATTTTAAGGCTAATATATTAAAATTTTTTAAAAAATGAATTCAATCACCCATTTTGCTCTTAAAATTCATGTAATGATGACTATCGAAGTTGGCTAATCAAATTCAAACTTGATATGCTTTATAACTACTACAGTAAAAGTCATGCATTGCATACTAGAATTAATGAAAGTTTTTTATTTTTATTCTATGATTCATAGAATTAAAAAAAAATTATTGATTTTGCCTTACAAAATTTCATGACAAGGGGTTGGGTCCCATAGCTTAGTTGTTAAACTCTTATTCTCCTACAGACAAGGTTAATAGTTCAAGTCTGACTGAAGATAAAATACTTTAACTAAAATGGAGCCTATAATCAGATGTGAAGCCCTGTGGAAGTCCAAGTGAAGGTACATATTTGATCTAAGGAATTCTCGAAAGGAAATCAGTATGGCAGAGCATGGGTATTACTATAGTGAGAAATGTAAAGAATGTTATCAATATTTATAGAAAGGATTGGCTTTACCTAATATGGAATCACCTCTGGTATTATAAATCCAAATAGGTATAGTTATGGAATCTACTTCTATTCAGTAGAGTTTGTGTCAAGGGTAAAGTAATCCTAAGGTCTATTATTAAAAATTAAGTTGGTACTACAGAAAAAACATTAAAAATCAGAGACTTTAAATAGAGAACCCACAGGTAAGTTTCAGGTATAACAATTAGTAGATAACCTGTAGATGAAACCTTTAAATATACAATGACTAAAGTTATACAAGTGACTAATTGTAGCCTTATTGATATGCAAAATGTAATACCCCCTACAATATTTGTAGGTTGTAAGTCTTAATAAAGATTATGAGCCATAAATGTCACTCTTTAAACCTGAAAAAAAAAACCAAAATTTTACAGCAGATTTTCAATTTTGATTAACTAAGAGTGATGAGTAAAATATTTGGCTAGAATTACTGAGAACTTTATTATTATTTCTGACAAATTTTATCATAATGCGAGATTATTTTCCAAAATATCTATTTTTGTAAAAAAAAAAATCAATATTACAATCAGAAATTAGTAAAATATGTAATGCAAGTCAAAATTTTGTGATCTGTAGCTGTTAACCAATTAAAATCGAGAATCTATTATGACAATTTTGTTTGATGAAATCTGATTAGTGGTTTTATTTAAGCTATTATTTAAAAATATTTATGTACTTACTATTACAAACATATGTACTTGCTATTACAAACATATGTACTTGCTATTATAAACATATGTACTTGCTATTATAAACATATATACTTGCTATTAGAACAAAAAAAAATATATAAAATGCTTATTTTGAGCATCTCTAATTTGGATAATTTTAAATCAGATTCAGTTTAGTTAATGTTTAACCTAAACCTGATCTGAACTTGATCTAAAATTTTTGGATCAGATTTTCTAATCTAAATCTAATTCAACTCAAAATTTTAGATTGGGTTTCAGGTTACCTAACTTGATTTGGAGCACTACTTATAATTATGTTTTACTTGATAATAGTAATTATTTATTTTATTATTTATTGCATACAGATTTAATTACTGACAATGGTCAGAAGTAATCATTAAGTAGAAAAATAAGTATAATATATTGTTAAAATTTTTGGCTGCTGCAAGCAGTGCAAAAATTTTATCATAAGAATCAGACATACTCAAATAGAACCAATTTGAGAATAGTACAGTAACAAAAATATAAAAAATGTGAAAAATATAATAGAAGTACTAGGACCTTATTTTGGGAATAGGCTCTATAATCATAATAGAAATACAATAATTTCATGTTGTAGTTAGGTTCTATTGTTACTACAGATAGTATAAGAACTTTATATTATCTTGCTTGTTTTACTAATATTCATTTTATAGACACAACATTTTACTAACAATAGGCCTACTAGAAATTAATTAAAATTATTATAAAATTAATTGAAACCCAATTAATAATAAAATAATTGTAATTAATTGTTATTTGTCACATGGTTGTAATAAATTATTATATGTAACAAATAAGAATTTATTAATTAAATATATTAGTAAACTCTTATTCATTACACAAATAATTTATCATATTAAAAATTGCAATTAATTGACTCATTGTGACTGCACTATCAATTAATTAAGTTCAAAAAATTGCAATTATTTAGTAAGTTTTTTAACAATCAATTTATTGATATGTTTATTTAACTAATACTTAATTGTAATAACATGTTCATTTTACTAACACTTAATTTGCCAATACTTAATTTATAGCAAATCTAGCATTAGCAACAATTAAAAATGTAATTATATAATAAACTGATTTTCTGATTTTATTTATCTATACAATATAAACAGTTAATTATTTTTATATTAAAATTTTTTATAATAAGCTTATTCAATAAGAAAACTTTTTTTTAACAAATTTATAAAGCTAGTATAAAAATATAATAAATTATTTTTATAAAAAACTTTATTATAAGACTGATAGTTCATTTATAGAAAACTGTATCTTATTTATTTTTTTATTTATTTTTAACTTATATTTTATTATAAAATAAAAGTGATCTCATATATAAAAACACAAAAAAATATGATAAACAAGTAATTATATTCATATTATAGTAAAGTTCTTATATTATAGTAAGAAAATACTAAATATATTTTACAAAACTTATTTATCATATTGTTACAATAGTAAAGCTTTCTTTTACTTCTTATTATAACAATAATACAGTTACAAAGATTTTTTACAAGTTTATAATAGTGTTAAAAAGAGAAATATAGTTCTTTTACTTGTTAGAAATTATACCCTTCTCTGGGCAGTTCAGATATAATAAAATAACAATTTATAATCTTATTACTACAAGAACAATAAATCTTGTTTGAAAAAATTATCTTAGAAAAAAAATATCAAAATAGTTTATAAATAAAGCTAATAACTTTATTAAAGAATAAGACTATTTGTTAGGTTTATATTTCTAAGAAACTCTTTTACACTTTTAAAAGTTACTAAACTAAAAATAAGAGAAAAGAGATGGTTGTAACTTGCTTATACTTAGAAAAATCTTGGGAGTTTATATATCTGTTAACAGTTATTAAGTTAAGCATTAAGATTATAATAATTATTAGTATTAAGTATAAAGCATTTATCAACACTCTCTCCACTGATCCTAAATTTCCAAACAAGACTAAAAGCAAATATATAAAGAAACAGAAAAATGGTCTAACAAACTTCACTTGGACCTCTAAGAAAAAAGACTCAGCAAGCAAAATACAACTACTTTGTCTTAAC